ACAAAATGTGACTTTATTATCTTTATTTAATAAATATTTTTAATTAATTAAATCCATACCTGATTTTTGAATTTTTAAACTATTTACCTTATTTTGAATTGAGGTAAAGAATACACATTAAATATGAATTTTCCCTTAAATATTATTCGGAAATGGATTCGATTCGAAATAATTTAAATTCGTTTACAACGGCTAGACTAACACGTTCTCACTTTAACGTTAGGGTTTAGGGTTTAGCGACACGTTTTTCGAGGAAAAATTTTATTTTATTTAAAGTTCTCGGTCGCTACATTGCCATTGTCTAGCCTAAATCCGCCACCGCTAAGATGAGTAATTCCAGTAGATCTAGATAACCCATGAGGCAAATTTAGAGGAGGGTTCATCAGATTCCCATTCAGATCATTTCTGAAGTTCAAATTATTGGCTCCAATAGAGTTTATTCTTGCAGTGTCTTAAGCCAAGGCATCACAGAAAGCTCTGTGAGTGATGAAACTATCTTTCCTGGTAAGATTTTTGAAATAATTATTACCTGATAATTTGCTGGCAATAAATTCAAATCTCAAAAGTATGCAATTCCATGAGCATTTATTTCTACCAGATATTCCCAACAAAGAACATAGATTCAGATTGAATTAGATACCTGGAAAAGAGTGTGCCACGTACAGTCACACTTATACTCCCTGCTACCACAAGTCTTAGAATGAGCTTTCCAATCCGAATGATTTAGGTTCCTCGACAATTGGGCGACTGTCATTTCAGGTATGGACATTGTGTTTTCTTGGTTTAGTTTGATATTTTTTTCCCAGTTTAATTCAAATTTTACTGCATTGGAATTGAATTTATGCACTTATGCAGAATTGTTCAAGTGAAAATCCCAATTTTAGCTGTTTATTAGTAATTGTAAATGTCACCAGTTGATAATTGGTGGAAGGTAAAAAAGGAATGTAAATCACAATGTTGAGGTAAATGCTAATTTTGGAAGAGTCGACTTGCAAAGTTGAGAGCTTTTAGTGGTGATTGATGGATGGTATTGGTTGCATGACTGTTAAATTATATAATTTGCTTGTTGATTACAGGTTGTTAATGAAATGGAGTTACAATTCATATCGTTAGCGAATGTCAGGACAACATTCTTCATTTTGAAACCATAATGCTAAGCAAAGTTAGTAGGATTTTTGTAGTTCATTGTCAAGTTCAGTAGGATATTTTTACTAATGTTAAGATGAAGTAGGCGAACTGGAGAAACAATTGTGGTCTTTAGTCCAGATGGTTCATCAAATATTACCTTTTCGCGATCGAAATTTTACCTAATATATCTCTCGACTTGCAGCATTTACATTACTTCAGATTCTTGGTGTTCTGTTGACATGCTGCTTGATTGTTATGGTCTAGCACTGGAGAAATGCCATTATGTTCTTATGGCTTTCACTCCGTCTTTTCTATGGTCTTATATGTGTCCTTCAACGGACTGGAAACAGCTGATATCAAGATGCAGACTAAGAAAACCCTTTTTACTGAGATCAAGTTTTGAAAGTAATAAATGCTGTTATGAAGCTGATTAAGTTTTTTTTTTTTTTTTCCCTCCCTGCAATATATGCAATGCAGCTGATTATTTTGTTTTTTGTTATTGTGCACTTTCAGTCTTTCAAGATCCTTATCTAAAAACAGAGTTCTCCTTTTATTTTTGAATGAGTGTACTTGGCATATGTGGCGAATATAATCAACATATATGCTACCTAATAATTTGGGTAATTGGCGCAAAACGTCCCTACCTTTGCTTGTTTTTTGTGGAAAACATCCCTACCTTTCACTTTTTTTGAACAAAACGTCCTTTTATCTAATTTTTGACAGAAAATGACCGATATACCCTCCTATTTAAATAAAACAAAAAGGAAAAGAAAAGAAAAATAAAGAATAAATTGCAATCTTACTCCTAGACTTTCATAAAAATGCAAATGAGTCCAAAAAACTAATTTAATTTCACCCAATAGGCCAACACAAACCCAAATTCTCTCCCTCCATTCTCTCTCTACACTGCCGGCCATCATCATTGGCGACTTCGCCCGTCACAACTAAAGGCCGAGAGTTCAATTAAAGGCGTGTGTGGGAAGGCAAACATCATTGATCTTTCTCTAAACATAAAAAATTAATCATGCACCGACGCACCGTCTCTACACAACCCTACTGCAATTCTTGGTAATGTATACAATAATGGAGTTCAATTATCGAGCAATTGGTGAACAATCTTCTCCTTACAGTTACTTCTCAGAACAAGCCTTCAAAGGTTTTATTCAATTTTATATTAGCATAAAAAATGAACAGTTTAGTTCTCGAAATTGGAATTAATATTTTGATTTTCACGTTGTATATTTCATACTGTTTTCTTCTTTAAACTATCTGCAATTTTGGTTGTTCCAGCTGGATATTTGGGATTGCCTGGCAACAATTTTTGGAAGTGAAGAGAATTGAGTTTGGGACGTTCTGCTTATTTTGGTTACAATTGGCGGTGGACGCCGGTGGAGGTAGCGACGGAAGGTTTAAGGGGGCGGATGAGGGAGTGGATGGAGCGTCTGAGATTGAGATCTCAAAGCATTTAATGGGTGGGGTTTTACAAGGGTTCAGTGGGAGCAGAATCAAATGAGACTGCAGAGAAAATGCAGATTAGATCGATTGATCGAGGGGATTAAGCATTTCTAAAATTAAGGATCAAGCGGTGCGGCAACAGCAAATGGTTTGCGTGGTCGGAATTTGGTTGCTGGAAACATGTTGTAAAGCTTTGAGATTTGGGATTTTGATCATAACTCTAAAGCGTAGTTTCTTTGTGGGATTTTGATCATGAAGAGAAAAAGGACAATTCTTTTGAAGTTGGAATATTCCGACACTTGCGATGGCATCTCCGGCGGTGGTTTTGACTGCGGAAGGTAATGAAGAGGGGGACAACGGATGTTGGTGGGTTATTTTTAATATTTTCATAAGTTTTGGACTCATTTGCATTTTTTAAAACTATAGGAGTAAGATTGTAATTTATTCTTTATTTTTCTTTTTTTTTCCTTTTTGTTTTTGTTTTATTTAAATTGGAGGGTATATCGGTTTTTTGTCAAAAATTGGAGAAAATGACGTTTTGCGCAAAAAAAGTGAAAGGTAGGGACGTTCCACACCAAAAAAAAAGAAAGGTAGGGATGTTATCCATAAAAACAGGCAAAGGTAGGGACGTTTTGCTCCAATTACCCCAATAATTTCAATGAGGCAATTTTAGTAATGCTGTTTGGATGCATGTATCTTATCTGCCTATTGTACGTGTATAGGTTCTCTTGTGAGGCCCAACGCTGTTAAGAGTGTCCACTTCTGCCCTGCTACAGAGAAATTCACACTTCGTGAATACAGAGATATTACATCCAACATGGGCTTGCCAATGGGTTCGGTATATCCAATACGGGTAGCCACCACAGTTTTACACCACAATTTTATCTTTTCTTTCCCCGTTCCCCTGTTCGCATCTTTTTTGTGATTTTTGACAAAAAGGAAACTCCTTATTGAAAATTAATATTGTCAGGATGAGAATGGCAACTTGTTAGTGACTGAATATGGGCTATGCACTTATAAGGACCACCAGACATTATCAATGCAAGCAGTGCCAGAAAATGCTGCTCCTGGTCAACTTCCAAGAACAGTGGATGTCATCGTAGAAGATGACCTGGTGGATTCGTGCAAACCTGGAGACCGTTTGGCAATTGTTGGGATATACAAAGCCCTTCCTGGAAAAAGCAAGGGCAGTGTGAATGGAGTATTCAGGTTGCTATGTGTATGCCTAATAGTTTACTCATTATTTCTCCTTCGTTCTATCAAATATTCTTTAAAGCTTGTTTACCAATTTTGTACGACTATCCTCATAGCCAACAATGTCTCTCTTCTCAACAAAATGACACACAATCTACAGTATTCAAATGAAGACATGAAAAACATCATAAAGATATCTGAAAGAGATGACGCATTTGATGTGCTTGCTAATTCTCTTGCACCTTCTATATATGGGCATCTATGGATTAAGAAAGAAGTGATTCTATTGATGCTTGGAGGAACAGAAAAGAACCTGAAAAATGGAACTCACTTGCGAGGGTAATACTATTTTTCCTAATTTAATACTGGGCCTTTCGACTTAGTACTCTATTCATTTGTCTAAAAGCTTTATCAATGTAAAATGTTTCTTCTTGTTCCTGACTAGCATCTAATTTAACTAGTTAGTTCCAAGTGTAAAAACTGACTGACTAGCACCTGGTGAGGTCTCACATCAATCATTTTTTTGTTACTTTGAGACTGTTTTGTTAAGCTTAAAAAGTTCACTTATAAGTTAATCAGTAAGCTTTAAAATAATAATCTTCTTTTATGTCAAAGTTGTCAATAATTAATTCAACTTATTCTTATAGTAAGGCAAAAACTACTTTCAATGCAAGTAACTTTTTCCATTTTGAAGTTAATTTAAAAATTACATCCAAAATCTGATCACAAAGTTAAAAGTAATATTTTTAGTTTTTTTTAAGATGCTCAAATTCCTCCATTGAATTAAGTAGTTGAGCCGCATAACTTTGTGGACCCTTGGCAAAATACGAAATATACAACTTAGGCTGTTTGTGTAATTATATTGGTGTGACATTAGGTTATGGACTTATGGGTATTTTTCTCCCTTTCATTTTATTGGGATGTAGGAATTTCAAATGATTTGTGATGTTATGCTTAAATTTGTGAAATCTATAAGTTTTTTTTTTTTGGGGGTTATCTGATAGGTGGGTTGATTTTATTTATTGATATTTCATTTAAAGATAGTTATTCCGATGTATATTTATATGTATATTTGAATCTTCAAGATGCAAAATATTTTGCTCAAAAAATGTATCTTTTAGCTTTTCCATTAGTGTGTTAATCTTGATTAATTCTTCAAATGTGTTGGAATTGCATATTTAAGCACAGCAGATCAGCAGCTCACACGTCCAACATCAGCTTACGTTCATCAGCAGATAAAACGTCCAGCACATGAATATTCTTCTAGATCCTTCACCAGCACATGCCTTATTCTAGATCCTTCTTTAGTTTGTTATGTATTTAGGAATTCACTCTATAAATAGAGCTTTGTGTTCAATGTTTTACTTGAGCTTGATGATTAATAAATTTTCCTTCCTTATCAGTTCCTTCAATATGGTTTTACATATTGAATTCTATCATTTTATTTTCTGCTGTTATGTTCTGCTATCAATCTCTGTCGGTTCACGTTTTCTGCCAGTTCATGTTTCTGCTAATCTGTGCTTCTGGTTTTGTTCCTTCAATTTCTTAAGATGGTATCAGAGAATGATTACTTCCTGCTGTTGCTTTTGTTTTGCCACCAGATCTGTATTTCGGTCGTCTTCAAGGTGTTCGACAAAAGTCCACTGTCGAGGCTTGGAGTTGCACTGGTGTTTTATTAGTAGTCCTAGCTGGAGTACTGTATTAGCATTTCCAGTTTTCTTTTACTCATCAATGTTGATGAAGTTTTTCTCCAGCAAATCCCCTGTTCAGAGCCATGGATGCTCTTTCATTCCCTTTTTATGTTGCTGTTTTTTTCTCTGGAATGCTTCTCTGCTGGACCTTGTCTTCAACCCCAGTTACATCTCTGTTTTCCAGTTTTTGCATCTCTGTTTTCTTTTCTCCAAGTTCAAGATGTGCCATCTTGAGGGGGTGTGTTGGAATTGCATATTTAAGCACAGCAGATCAGCAGCTCACACGTCCAACATCAGCTCACGTTCATCAGCAAATCAAACGTCCAGCACATGAATATTCTTCTGGATCCTTCACCAGCACATGCCTTATTCTAGATCCTTCTTTAGTTTGTTATGTAGTTAGGAATTCTCTCTATAAATAGAGCTTTGTATTCAATGTTTACTTGAGCTTGATGATTAATAAATTTTCCTTCCTTCATCAGTTCCTTCAATATGGTCTTACATATTGAATTCTATCATTTTATTTTCTGCTGTTATGTTCTGCTATCAATCTCTGCGGGTTCACGTTGTCTGCTGGTTCATGTTTCTGCTAATCTGTGCTGCTGGTTTTGTTCCTTCAATTTCTTAAGAAAATGAATATTGAATTTTTGCTGTGTTCAAGTGTGTGCAAAGTTTGAATCTTTAAACTGTAGCCTTTTTAGGAGATATACGAGTGGATCCCAGGAAATATGTGGATAATAATGGGTAGTAATTATGAATATGTTGTTGAAATTAATATTTGACTTTGATGTGATAGAAAAATGAACTTATAAGTTACTCTTTAGGAAACAAAAACTTAGGCATATTGTGTAATTTTAAACTTTATGCATAAAGGCTGAACTGTTTCATTGGGGATTTGCCCTGGTTTAAGTAGTTAAATGACTGTTGGAGTCATGATTTATGAATGTCCGAACGTGTTCATGTACTTTAGCATCCAGATTGGTGTTTTAATTTTCCATGTAACATGTAGTTGTAAAGTTTGGATATTTCCTATTTAATATAGTTTCAATCTTTGAACTGTTTAAACCAAGTTTCAGATCTTTAATCTCTGAGATGATTTTGAGTTTTTCGGTATCAAGTTCATAACTTTCTGATTATTTGAAACTATTGTAGATGCAAGCATTACAGAAGAAGATGCAAGATTCGATCTCCTTGCTGTAATGAGGTTTATGATTGTCGCCACTGTCACAATGAAGCCACGGTATTTCTCCAAACACCTTCACTGCCCTCTCTTTCTTTAAGTCCAATAGAATCTTCTCGTGCTTTTATTTGATCTGGTTCTGTTTGTTTAATTTGTTCGACCTGCTAAATGATCCTTTCAACACACCAAACCCCTTATGTCTATTCGCTTTCTTTATCTGATTTTTGTTGTTTTGAGTCCATATCAACAGAGTTTGTTTCGAAACATTTTTGATTGGCATGAAATGGTGTGGTATGATGTAAAGCAAGTACATTTTTCACATCTTTGTTCTTTGCTCATTTGTGTTTGATTTAGTATGGTCCTAAAGTCTTGTTAACATGGATGGACACACTAACTTATTTTGCAGGATATCTGTTCAGTTTGTGACGCAGAGCAGCCTGTAATTCTCTCAACTTGAGTTATAAGCCGTTTTGTTCTGTTTCTATCAATACCTGATTTGTTTTAAAAAAAGATCTCCCTTTGGTCCAAGTTGCCCATGTTTGTACAAATTGCAGCGTCAATATGGGAGAATACTTTTGCAACGTGTGTATATTCTACGACTATAATGTAATTAAGATATTTTTCTTCCTACCTTGCTAAAATAACTTGTTTCATTGATTATAGTATCTTCTAAATTCTTAAACAGTGCTAATTTATGCTTGCTGCAGATTGACAAAGGACAGTTTCATTGTGATGATTGTGGAATCTGCAGGTTAGTAATCAGATAAGAAATGCTTACTTTATGCCCATTTCTTACGCTGTGCTGATGTTTGGCCAAGCTTTAAAATAAGTAAAATTTACTTGTTGTTTCTGTACATGTTTGGATAAGGTGCTCTCTCTCTCTCATCTAAGTAAAAGAATTTACTTATATCAAATTCTGAGCCAAAATCAAAATTATATATTTTTAAAAGTTGCTTATTTACTTATAATTAAACCTTTTAAGCTTTGGAAATCTTTCTCCATTCTGTAACTAATTTGATCTAAAATCTGATTCATCATTTAGAGTTGGCAGCCACGTGAACTTCTTCCACTACAAGAAATGTGGTATGCAATTGCTCTTTGGCGTTACTTCATTGTTACTTTGTCTTTAAACTCATTTTTCAGTCGAATTCCTCATCTCTACATTAAAATTGTAAGTATCGAGAAAATATAACGAGTCTTTAGAATTTGCTGGATTTTAACACCTTCTCTAAGCTAATCACTACACTTGAATTTCTTCTTACATTTTTATCATATATAATTATACAGGCTCTTGTTATTCAGTTAGTTTGTGTAACTATCATTTGTGTGTAGAGAACTCCATGCGACACCACTGTCCTTTATGTTATGAGGTTTCCTTGATTTTCATCTTCGAGTTCTTTACTGTTAATCTTGAGAGTTCTTTACTTTTAATCTTGAGTAGTCAAATTGTAATACTGCCCCTTTTCTGTACTTACAGTCAGTATTCTAAAAAGCGTAAAGCATGGCTAGGCGTGGAGGCCAAGCTTCAAGCTTTACGAGCCTAGGCGAAGTTTAGGCGTATAAAACCGATTTTAATTTTAAATTTTTAATCATTGTAAAAAAATTCGACAATTCAAATAATACATACCAAACATCTCAAATTATAAATACTACATTTACTTAATAATACCTTCATAAAGTAGTTTGGAATTTAGATGATGTTGAGGAATCATCTTCTTCCACTGGTTCCTACAAAAAAAAAAAAAA